ATGACGTCCAGCCGGTATGTGTTGGTCATCTGCAACTTTTTCCACTTTCGCTGATGATGGACGCTCGCACCTGAATCGTGTCCTGCAATCATAGCAGTCATAGGTAAACGCTACTCGAATATTCGCTATCGCGGTAGAAAGGGAAAGAGTTTGTGAGACAAAGATAGTCTCGATTTGGCAGGTAGCCCAGTTCAGATCCAAACCTCTAAGCTGACGAGTCTGGCCAAGGCTAATCTCTGTCTCGTTTGGACGGAGTTACGTACTTGTAGACACGCACTAAACTAATAAGCCACGCATTGGCCCTATTAGTGATAAATATAAACGCACAAAGGTGGCGGGAAATGGCGTTTGGTAGATAGTTAATCCTACTAGAACTTACCGGCATTGTACTGGCTGCCCGGTTTCTCCAAATTGGTGATATTGAAGCGGTAACGAACATTGTTTTCAATATTTGAAACTCGGAAGTAGAACCACTGCGTATGGGAGTAGGTGTTTACATCTGGCGACAGAATGAGGTCGTATTCGTGCTGACGAACCTGTTTTATAGGGAGGAGTGTTGTCGTCAATAGGGAACAGAAATCAAAGGACGTATTTAAAAAAGGGCGTGACGCTCCGCATTTTATGTCTGATGCATATGTACAAGATCGTGTGTGGTACGTGTAAACGAACCGTTAGGATTTTTCAGCCACTACATCCATATCTATCTGCGGTCGTCTGGATTTTTTCTTGTTATCAGAACACGATTAATGAGAGTGTGCACTCTAGGTGCCGCGAAAGTCTGTTTAACGCCCCGGCAGATGGGTACAGCTCCTCGGGGCCCGCAAAAATCAGTTTATCCTGAGGTCTTGACCAACTACATCAATATTCTATCACTGTTAATGTACCCGAATGCAACCGCCAGTACAAAGAGCCCGTGGTTTGATGGTAAGGACACTGTATTTCTAACTAGTCGGTCACTAATTCGAATTCCAGGGGTTGCAACACCTGGGATCGGGTATGACCGGATGATGACGAGTAACAAGCCAGAAACGGCCATAATCCAGTCTCCCGCCGGTCTTACATGTAATGGCATCCTGCCTAAAACGATCTATCAGTTGGATCTTCCAAGCCACTGTTTGCCGCGAAAAACTGGAGCCCGTCGTGACCAAAACCAGACGACCGGAGGCGGGAGAGGGCGCAGGTGGCTGGTGTGGTTTGAGCTGCACCTAGGCCTGCTTCCACGCCTGGCTCGGATCCCACAGAACAGGAGTGCTTTACAGGCCATATCAAAAAACAGCCTGATTCTCAGTCCGCCCGT